GTAAAATATATTTTTATGATAATATATTTAAATATTAATAATGTATTATAAATATTTCTATAGCATTATATTTTAAATTATATTTCTATAATTTAATCATAAATTTATTAAAATTTTAATTATTTTGAATAAAATTGAAAATATATTAATAGAATCTTATAAATACATATTAATATAACTATAATTTATCTTATGTACGAAAATATATAGATACATATATGTATAAATATATATTAATATATAAATATAATATATGTAAATATATATGTATTAATATATAAATATAAGCATTAGTTGTTTGTCAAATAAAATAAAAATAAAACAGTCAAAAATAAAATAAAACTAATTATTTTTTATGTATATTTAAATCATATTTGAATTAAATTTTCTTTATTTTATTGAAATTACAAATCATATATGCTTACTACGCAGAAGACAATCTATTATCACTAGTAAAATAATCCATGGTTAACGGTCTTTGTGTGGGGATGGGAGGCGTGACTAAAGATAAAGTTATCAAATCACGTCAGAGATCCGTCACAAAATATAAACGAATTTTGAAATAGTACTTGCACTTCGTTAAATTCAACTCTTGAACGTAAGCACTTTCTCTGTGATTTGTCAAAAATACAATGGATACATATGAAAGTGTATTACTCGTGAAATCTGAAGTATTTGTATTTAAAATACCACCAAGGTCAACGAATAGGGGTTATCGGTACGATTGATTCTTTTTGACAGCGTTTTTCTCTTTAATTTTATGACAAATAATTTTTAACAAATATGCAAAAATATATTTAAACGTGACATTGTTATTTAAAAAAATTCATATATTTGTTATTAATTTTTGTTGTAACATATATATAAAAGTAAAAGTTATAACGGAAATTATTAAAAATATAATACTATTTTATATATTGAATATAAAATATTTTTAATTTGTACTTTTAATATTATATTAAAAAAATTTAATTTTAAACTTTTAAGCTTTATAAAAAAATCCAATCAAATATTAAGTATTTAAAATATAATATATATTTTAGTTTTATTAAATATAAATTTCTTTGTATTAAAATAAATAAATTTATTCATAATATGTAAAAATACTGATTAATGTAATTTAGTAAAAAGAAATATATTACTTTTTAATATATATTATATTTTAGTGCAGCTGATTGGAATCTTCAAGAACCTACATGGACTGGACGTATGCGTTTAGTTTCTCAAGGAGATTCAATTACTATAAAATTAGAAGATAAAGTTACTGGAGAATTATTTGCAAAGTGTCCAATTGAACAATATCCAGGAATTGCAGTTGAACCAGTTACAGATTCTTCTCGTTATTTTGTTCTGAGAATTCAAGATGATAATGGAAGATCAGCTTTTATTGGTGTTGGATTTCTAGATAGATCTGATAGTTTTGATTTAAATGTTGCTCTTCAAGATCATTTCAAATGGCTCAGAAATCAAGAACAAATAGAAAAAGAAAAGGATAAACCAAAACAAGAATTAGATCTTAGATTTAAAGAAGGAGAAACAATAAAAATAAACATGAAAATTACTGTAAGATTTTTTCATTTTTCACTTTAGATATTACTATAAATATTTAAAAATTCAATTATATAATAAATTATATATTTCACACAATTATACAATATAATTTTTATATTTATGATAGAAAAAAGATGGTACAGAAGTTTCTACTAAAACAAAACAACGTACCAATACAAATTTGGGTTTACCACCTCCACCAGGTGGTGTAAAAATTGCTCCACCACCTGCAAAAACTCCAACCTCATCTCCTGCACACAAACCTATTCAGAATCAAACTCAAACAAGTTCTGAATGGGGAGAATTTGCTAGTGCATCACAACAATCTCAAACTCAACAGTCAACAGTGGGAAATGCCAGTTGGGTTCAATTTTAATTTACAGGTGTATTAAAATTTAATATAGCAATATTGTAGTATCATAGTGTGTGTGTGTGTGTGTGTGTGATTGCGCGCGCGCGCGCGTTTGTATGTGTGTAATGATAATAAAATATATATATATACAAATTATATATATATATATATATATACATTTAATTTATATATTCACTGTTACATATATATATTAACATAAGTGCATGTTGCATATAAATACCTTTTAAGGGTAATTATTGACAAAGATGTTTCTATGTACATAATCAATGAATATATATACTTTACTATATTATGATATAGTATTATTTTTTTTAATTTGTTTTTTTGATTCAGTTATGAAATAATTTATCTAAAAAAATTTCATTTGAATTACTATGTAATAAATTTTTTTTAAAAGTTAAGTAAAATATATACTTCATATTTACATTGTTGTAATTTTTGAAGCATTAAGATAGATTAAAAAATATAATTAATATTTAATTTTCGTTACTATATTTCTTATTACTATATCACAAATATTAAATAATGTACATATTATATTTTTTATTTAAACAAAATATATAAAATATATGAAATAACTCATATTTTTTATATAAATAGTTAACGAATAAGTTTTTTGTCTTATACAAATTAAAAAGAAAAAAATTGAACAATAAAAAGTATATATAATAAATAAAAATTAATATAAGTTTAAATTATCAAATAAAATAAAATATTATTAATGTCAAAAAATTGTATTAATAATATAATTATTGAATATAAAATATACTAAAAATATTTTCAATATTTTTTATTGCATGGATACATTCTTTGTGAAAACCCTTAAAGGAGTATGAATTAAATTGTGGTACTGTCTTGATTAGTATTAGTTTTTGGTATTTGTACATAAAGCAGAAATTATGCAAATGTACGGCCTAATTTTCTGGATGTGTTAGATTTTTAGATATTTTGATTTTGCATTAATAAATAATTTTTATTATTATGTTATTATTTAATTGTATTATGAAACATATGATCTTTTTATGTATTCTTTTAACTTTAAAAATAATATATTAAAGATTTATTTTATGTTAATATTACTATAATTTTTCTTAAATGTCTGTATTAAATAGATAAAAATTTGGATTAAACTTCTTTTTGTTGCATTAAAAATACTTGGATCAATTTTTATCTTATATTCGATAAATAATCTGAAAATTTAACTTTAGAAAACTGATTTTAAAATTATATATATAAAAAATATAGTTTATATATTTTATATAAAATATAAGAAATATAAAAAACTTAAGTATTTACATGTTAAATTTTTATAACTATAAATAGTTATATCAACGAAAATAAACTATAATAATGATGATAAAAATTGATCCAATATTTAGAATGTAGGATCGTTTTTAAAATTATTTTAAAATAAAAAAAAAATTATTATTTTTCATTCAAAAATATATAAAGACAAAAAAAAATGAATGCAAAATTAATCTATGAATTAATGAAAATAAAATTTATTACATATCTTTATTTATAGAAGGAAAAAAAGTATTCCGTGTATATAATAATAAAAATTATTATTTAAAGAAATGATATAAATTTTAAATTAAGTGCAAAATTATTGTAAATTATTTACAAACAAAAATTTGTTAGATGAATAGTATTCGAAATAATAATTTGCATATTTTAATATCACTGTATATTGTAAATGATATTAAGTAATATTGTTAATATTATCTATGTTATCTATGTAATATTTAACAAAAATATCTCGTAATTCCGTAAATTACATTCCATTCACGAAAGTAATAATAAAATATGTATACGCGTATATGTATATGCATATATTTAACATTATTTTTCTTTTCGTAGTAAATGAAAAATAGTATTGCTTTTTATTGTATATTTTCATTTATAATTATAATAAATTGCATAATTATTAATATACTAAATAATTATTAAAAATCATATTACAAATAATACTTTGCAATTACATACATAATAACAGCTGAAAATTTTATTCTATAGTAGAACTTTGATTATTACACGAAATGAAATTAAAAATATATATAAATATCAAGATTTGTGCAACAAATATTTTAAACAATCAGTCTAAGATTTATATGCTTTTTATAAATCATCATTTGTTTGTCCACAAAACATGAAACTATGCTCATCACAATATAATGAATAACGTTCATATGTATTAATCAAGGTTCTATTATATCACAAGATTATTTATATTTTTAATAAATAATCAACAACGTTTATTACGAGCAACATTAAGTCGTAAACTGCGCATAGCCATAGCGCGACTAAAATGACGTTGAACTGGACGTTGAAGTTGTCCATTAACTAAACTAGAATCTTCATCACATTCTACACTGCTTAAAACTACTAAAAGTACTCCAAGTACCTGTAACATAAATGTTATATATTATATTTTAAATATTTATTATAAATAACATTTATATTTTATCTTAATATAAAGTTTATTAATGTATTTATATCAAAGCAACATAATATTTTCATTTTTATTTTACATACCAAACAAATAATTATTAGTAATGTATAGATATGTATGCTTGCAGCTGGAAGTGACTCTACTTCTCTTAAAGCTTCTGCAGCTTCAGAGAGATCTGGTTTTAATTCCAAGGCATGTCGTAAATGTACTGCTGCTTCTTGATAATGACCATATGCCTTTAAACAAAAAATGATTAACTATTTCTTGATAATGTTATAAAATAAA